AAGTATAGAAATTGAGAGAGGGCTGGAGGAATGTGCAATACAAGTTGAATGTGTTACTAGACACAAACCATTTGTACAGAAAGTAAACACACATGATTTGTGTAGGAGGTGCAAGAAGTTTCTAAATTGCCATCCTCATAGTTCCCAGTCTGCAATTTTCATCACAACAGAAAAGCTAGAGAAATCTCATCCCTAATGAAAGACGTTATTTTGACTCAAATCAAAATCCTGTAGGTTCAGCTACAGGAAACGTTTTTTTATGTTTCTCTTTAAGTGTTAGCAGGGGTAAAGAAACATCTGAGACAAAGTCACACTGCAGGTGGTTTATCCACTTCTATACAGTTAGAAAAAGAAAATGTGTAGGGAATTGTCATGAGCAATGCTTTATTTCACAGCTCTTGGCCAAAAGTTTAAATCCAAGCGACCATGCATATCTTAAGGCAGACTCTCAAGACAGAACAAGCTTTCCCTCACAATGTTGCCTGCCAGAGATCCTTCAAAGAATATTTTTTTTCCTCCCATGGTTAGCTTTAATGAGAAATTCCGTATGTATAAAGAAAGGCATGAACCTAAGTGTAACAGCCTTTCCAAGATTAAAACCATGCTAAGGAACAGAACTCATCAAGTTTGTAATACTGTCATCTGAGGTTATCAATCAATATGGTTTCTAAGGACTCCTGGGGGGGTGGGGGTTGATCTGTTGATGATTTGTCTGTTACACATCTAATCTCCTTTAGCTCCTTTTAAAGCATACACATATTTAAATGTCTCGCATTTCTACAAAATAGGAAAGAATATTTAACCTGTGTTCCTATCCTCTATCCTCCTGCAGAATAACAGGATAATAGCAGAAGACAGAAATACTTCAAGAGTTCCATTCTTTCACTTAATTGAAACATTTTATAACAGTTCAGTGCTGTTGACACAAGTCCAAATAAAATGACTCAGTTGTAGTAATGCAGCACCCACAAGTAAGCTTATGACAGAATGTCAAAGTTCTTAATTGCAAAACTCATCCCTTTTGAAGACATGTGTCATTCACTTGAGAAAGCTAATTACATCTGAATACCCTGCAAGGCAATGTTCAGAACTGGTTCACTGTTACAAAACCAGTTACCATTTACTCTTTCCTGTGCTGCCACGACTTAGCTGCAGTGAGGGCAGGGTGATGGTGACATCTTCCCAAGTACCAATTATCAGGAGACTCAGAAAGAAGTACCTTCTGAAAGCTGGAGGTGGACTTTTTATAAGAGCAAGTAGTGATAGGACAAGGGGTAATGGCTTTAAACTGAAAATGGTTAGATTTAGATTAGCTATAAGGAAGAAATTCTTCACTATGAGGGTGGTGCGACTGGAACAGGCTGCCCAGAGAGGCTGTGACTGCCCCATCCCTGGCAGTGCTCAAGGCCAGATTGCATGGGGTTTGAGCAGCCTGGTCTAGTCGAAGGTGTCCCTGCCCATGGCAGGGGGTTGGAATGAATGGTTTTATGGTTCCGTCCAAACCATTCAATGATTCTACAACCACATAGCTGTGCTAGCAGGCTGACTGTGAGGTTGAAGAAACTTAAAGGAGGCAGGGTCAGGGACAGGGAAGGATGCAAGAAAAGGTAGCAAACCTACATAGAGAAGCACAGACATGTCTGTAGCAGCCTGATACCCCAGCTAAGTTTAGGCTAGCTCAGGTACCAATAGCAGCTTGTCCCTGACAGTACAAAGCTCAGCACAACCTATGAGTACTACTCTCTTGCTACAGGAACACTCCTCTCACTACACAGAGTGGTTAAAGTTATATATGAGGCTTTGGCACTCATGCATGGATTATACTGCTTTCATGTTCTCTTAGACCCTCAACTTAAGCTAACAGAATCAGCAGGGCCACTTTTACTGTCCTTTACTGTCAAGGTCTCCGTGTGAGTTAAAAGAAATGGAGAGCAGATCTTGAAAAGGAAAATGCACTCAATCACCTTCAGTCTTTTTAAACTAGATATAGCAGTGCAAATCCCAACATGAACACACTTACTCCAGTTTATTTTTGACCAGTATGATTTAAACTAGAACAACATGAACATTGCTTTAACTCCTGTTTCTGAACCATTATGGCTTTAACAAATGTACAGCACGGATTGTTTATTCAAGCTGATGCATCCTTCTCATGAAGGGCAGAACAGGTTGCCCAGAGAGGTGGTGGATGCACCATCCCTGGAGACATTCAAGGCCAGGCTGGATGTGGTTCTGGGCAACTTGATCTATTTCAAGATGTCCCTGCTCACTGCTGGAGGAGTGGATTAGATGACCTTTGAAAGTCCCTTCCAACCCAAACTATTCTATGACTCTATAAGGTGAGAGTTGGGACAGCTCAAAGGTATAAAATGCACTTAAAAGAAGCTATTCCCTTTTTTCTGTTCTTCTGTGTAATTACAGACTTCTCAATAAATGGCATGTTCTCAAGTTCATGTGGCAAATGTAGGCTGCCTGCCCACTCACTTTACAGGAAGCCTTTCTTGTTTCCATGCCATGTAGAATTGCCTCTGTTTCAGCAGCCTGTGTTCCTTGTAAAGTGTGGGATGCTGTGATAAACCCCACATCTTGTTTTATTAAGGAAGAAACCCTATCTCAGTTTTTTTTTTCCTGTCCCTTCACAGTCTCTCATCACCTCCAAGTCAAAGCTGCACATTAAAATCCTTGATGTTGGCAATTCCTCTTTTCAGCTGCAAGAAGTGAAGGAAAAGAAAACTCCTACCTTCTTTCTCACAAATCCTTTGCTTAGCTGGGTGCAAGTTTTATAGCCACGTCTTGTCAGGAAAGTAGACTCACCACATGTGTAACTTCAAGTTGAACTACAGCATTTTAATCCCTTCCTAGCTGCCAGCATGTCAGAGTTACAGCCCTCCACCCAGTCTGCCCCATCACCTACTGATGGATCAAAGAGAGAATGAGACATCTGTACCCCCCTCACTACCCCTACCCCTGTTAAAGCCCTTTATGATATTTTTGAGCTATTTGTCTCTCCAGATTCTCCACAGCTCTAAAGGTGTGATTTTTAATTATTTTTAAATTAGTTTTAAACATGCAGAAGTAGGACATACTAGCAAAGACAGCAAGATATTTCTTTGAGTCCTTATTCCACACTCTGTTACTTATCTTCACTATTTAGTTTTGGTGCTTGAACTCCCATTTCTTTCTCATATCTTCTTGTATTTTACTTTCAGTGAATGCTGCAGAAAGGCAGGATTTGAGACTGGAATCTAGAGCCACAGAAGCACATAATAAAATTCTGCCTAACTCTAAGAGGAAAACTTTTTTTTGGCCTCTTGGAAGCAATAATTCTAGAAGAGTAGCCAAACCATTTTGCAAACAGAAGCCAATAGTAAAATTCTTCCTAACCCCAATAAAACCAGGTTTTTATCCTCAAAGCAAATATTTTAGAATAATAGCCAAACTACATTTTGAAAACTTTTTAATAATTGATGTATTACCCAATACACTTCAGGTGTAGCAAGGACACATAGCAAGAAAAGTAACCAGGAACAGTATGTGAAATAAAGCACTGTTTTCTGTTCCAATACCACAATCATACCCTCCAAAAGTCACTTACTTCTTTTCAGAACAGCTGGTTTTACCTTTGAAATCACCTCTGAACAAACAGTAGAGGCTCTATTAAGTAGGTGCCTGTAAAGTTAAAGGTGCATTTGTTACAAGACTGAAGATTTGCAGAAAAGGCTTTGGGTATTTCCTACCGTAAATGGGAAGTGTTTTCAAGAAGAGACGAACAACATCTCATGCTGAATGCACATCCGTGTATAAGCACACACATAAATTCACCTCTGCAGAGACTCAGAAGAAATGAATTCAAGATTTTAAGCACAGAATGCTACAGGGGACAGGCAGCTCAAAGGTGAGAGCGCCAGTAACCGAACAGAATATTCCTGCCCTGGACCAAGTCTTTTCCATCTCCAGACTCTTATCATAAAATTAGTGTCAGATTTAGAGCCAGTATGGAAACAGAGACAAAGAAAAATGTTCATTTGCCTTTCAGCCATAGAATATGTAGTGTGCAAGGTTTAATACAGTCCTTTTTGAAAAGCTCCCCATGTCTCTGAAGCATTAACAGGGATTTACAGAAGTTCTCACACACATTCAACTGTCAGCGGTTTTATTTGTCTGCAGCCACTCATTATTACTCTGAGAGGCTGAGAACCAGTTAGGTTTAAGCACTTTTTGCTTCTTGTAATGAAAGTCAACCTAAGAGTATCGAAGGGGCTATCAGTTTATGCCATGTTGGCATATTTTATCTACTTTAACAGTACTCCAGGTGTTTTCCATAAAATACTATTACTTGCAACAAAACTCTTCCCATTTTCCTTGCTATTCCCAGTGCTCCAGTGACTTATCTTTATGTGGCTCTTTCACTCCCACCAGTGTAGAAAAGAGGTAGCAAACACTCAGTTAAAAAATAAATAAATAAAAATAAAGCTTAGTTTTTATTTTATTGTATCAGCCTCTTGTCCCCTATCCCACTACTCAGGCCCAAGACTTTTTGCAACACTGGTAACTTGAAATCCCACTTTCTCCTCCCCTCGTGGTTCCTAATGGAGCTCTCCACCGCTTGTGCTTTATGCAGGCATCCCACCGGACTCAACTCACTCCCCCAACAGGGAAAATCACAGCGGTAATCCCCCGACGCCGCTCACCGCTGCGCTCACTGGGCGCAGCACCTGCGGGTGCAGCCCACCCCTCGCACCCCTCTTTCCGCAGCCGCCGTGCCCACGGGGGGCTGCTGGCTGCAGCCCTCCCCTTGCCAGCCCCCGGCCCACACCCGGGACAGGCAGCGGCTGCGGGGCCGCGCACCCCCCGCACCTCCCGTCCGCCCTCCCTCCCCGCCCCGTCCCGCCGCCGTCGCCGTTCCCCCTCCGACTCTTTTCTCTCGCCGCTGGCACCAGCGACACCTCCGACCTCCCCGCTCCTCCCGGCCCCCGCCTCCGAGCCGGCTTTGTGTGAGCGGCACCAGACACCTGGGCCGGGCGCGGCGGCACCGGTGGTGGTGGTGTTGGTCTCGGGAGCAGCGGGTCCCCGCACGATGCAGCTCCGCGGGCGCCCCTCCACGCTCCTGCCCCTTTGTCTGCTCTGCCTCCAGGCTGCGCTGCCGCTCCGCGGCCACGGCGGCCGTTACGCCGGGTAAGTCTGTCCGTCCGTCCGCCCGCCGTCCCTTACCGGCCCGGAGGGGCGGCAGTAGCTCCGCGGCCGCGCTCCTTCCGCTGACTTGTCCCAAGAACCGGCTTGTACAGACGGGTTCTGCTGCGAGGTTGGTTTGCTGGTTTCCATGCAGCTATGGCATGCTCCGGCGCTTTCTTGCAAAAGGTGCTGTCTCTTATAGTAATCGGAAGGATGCTACACTGGGGGAGGAAAGTTTTAGTGTCCTTGTAGAAAGAGACATTGTGGTTGTACAGCACAGAGGCTTCACCGTGCTCCGAAATGAATGAACATTTGTATTTTCCTTGAGGGGACAATTTTCGTGTGGTTTTTTTTTTTTTTTAAAGTTGAACAATGTGCGGTCTTACTGAATACATAAACAGTGCAACCAATAAGGGAACCTGACTTACCTTACTGTAAGCAAGTGAAGACTTTTACATGTGTTTCAAACTAGCCTTTTTTTAACTTTACTTTTGTTTTCATTTGAAGTACAAATGTGTGTTAGAAAGACGGAACTAAGCAGTAATAAAAGGCAAACTGTGGTATCAGTGCTAGGCTTTGCCTCCAAAGTGTATGTTCTTTTTGCCTGGCTTAAACACTTTGGTTTTAGCAAGTATTTAACAAAATAGAGAGCTTTGTGATGCAAATGAAAAGACAATCATACATAGGGGCATTAGAAGCTCTCTTTTCACAGACACTATAAGATTCATTCAGACTGACCATCAAATTCCTCCGGAGAAGCACACCTCCCTGTGGAAGTAGGAACTGTATTATTCTTTTTATTATATTAAAATAGCCAAGCCAGGCATGGAAATTCCACTACTTAAATGAAGCTTAGGAAACCCCGAAACATGCCTTGAGCTTAAAGTGTGTGGTAACGTGATATGAAGCCATTCACCCCTGGGTCACAATTAGTGACAGAAAGTAGTTAAACATTTGACAGCTGTTCCACCATGTCCAGTTAGCTCCTCTTGTCCCGGTGTCTATCCTAGCTGTGTGAAACCAAAGTGACCACCACACTCGGGAGCTCTCCTGGCAGCGCAGAAAGGAATGGGGCAGAACACTGAACTGTTCTTCAAAGCCATGGCATAAGGTTCATGCAGCAGCACTGCTCTGTCTGGAGCCCATTGTACAATCATGGTCTTGATAAGACCCAATTGTTTTAAAGTCAGGACTGTATTGAGTTTATTTGGAGATGACATCGAGATGAGTAACACATTCCCAGTGCTGGTACACGACTTTTTCTGAATATTAGTTACGTAAGCTATCTATTGATCAAGGTACAAGATGTCAAAATACACATTTTAATATCCTCTACATTTAAGTGAGATTGTCCATCTGTAATCCAGTTGATTAAAACAGAAGAACAATGCATGCAGATTCATGTATTTGACCTTTGCTAAGCATGTGAATCACCAGCTCTGTTACAAGTTTTAAAAATCATTTTCTTGTTGAATCATTTTATGTGCCCCAAGTGACGTGTGAAGGATACACCCAAACTCTCCCTGTTTATCCCCGTCCTAGAAGATTTTGCATAGAGTCTAGTCCCGAAAAACAAGGTGTCTCATCAGCTTCCATCTTGCTTTCGGCAAGCACAACAAAAATCACTACTAAAAAAGAAAATAATAATAAAAAATAAAAGGCTAGAGTTCATTATAAAAACTCTTGGTCAATAAGCAATTGTAGTAGGGGGCCAAGATATATTTACAAGCCTTGCTGAAAATGCGGTCACATTTGTAACAGAAACCAGAATGTGTACCACATGTGTAACACAAACTGGAAAAATAGCCTGATCTTTTTCCCACTCTACTAATCTTTTCCATTCCTACTATCCTGGCATTATTTGTGTCAATAAGAGATGGTGAAAAAAATTGTTTGCACCAGGATGAAGGTTCCTTCAGAATTATGACTACATCTTGTCCTTCTGAGGCATCTGTCATCAGCCCAATGTCTTGGGCAGAATCATTTAATTCCCTCTGTGTGTGCAATAGAGTAGGAACACTTGAGTGGGTATTGCCATCACTCCTGAGCCTCATCATCACCTAAAGGGAAAAATATTTTGGTAGGGTTTGGGGTGGGTTTTTCTTTTTGAGAAAGGCAATAAAAGGGGTGTCCCAGCCACCTGACTTCATTCTGTGCTAAGAAATGTGTGTCAATCCTAGTCACTTCTATGAGGCTGTAACATATAGGGGAAAGGCATAAATAGAATTAGGGCAAAAAAGCTGAGAGAAAGGAAAAAAAAAAAGAACAAAAAAAGCAATGGAAAATATTTCTCACAAACTGAGGCCAGCACTAGGAGGTACAGAGCAATTGCAGCTCTTTAGCTGAGGACTCCAACCCAAGACAATTAATTGGTATTGCACATGTTTCTCCAAACCAACCTCTCCAAACTGTGTCCAGAGCAGGCCAGGCGTGCCATATGGATACATCTTTATGCAAATGCATTCCAGATACCTTCAGGAAGTCAACAAATAGTTGGGACGTCTCAGCAAGGAGGCAGGAGCTCTCATGCCCACTGAGTTCACTGCAGAGCAGGTGTATTTGCCTTTGGCTGTCTCACAGAACATGCGGGAGTTCAATCAGCCTCTGTGCTCTTGTGCCTGCAGGACCTCAAAAGGAGCTGGGAGCTACTGCCTTCACCTCTAGAAGACCCTGCTAACCAGCTACCCTGCAGCAAATTCAAAACTATACTCACACATTTTTCCTTCTCCCACTTGCGTGCTCTGTCCAAAGGTTCTAAGGGAGACAGGCAAGGGGAGGGGACACATCAGGGTTTGGGCAGAGTATATGTGATATACTGAAGTGGATTTTGCAGGAGGCCATTACCAGAGGTTCAGACAGGGGCAACAAGGATAACCAAATGCATGGAATGGCTTAAGTGCTAGGACTCTGGTCTCTAATAGAAATAATTTAAGGCCTAACAGATGTCTACAACCTTTGAGTGACATGGAGGTAGTGGATAGAGATAACTTGTGCCCTGTTTCTTCTAGTTACAAGCAGGAGATATAAAACTAATCTAGCAGAAACCAGGTTGAAAAGAAACTTCTTCACAAGTGTGAGTCCTGTGGGAATCCTTGCTGAAGGATGTGAAATAGTGTTCTGGGTTCCTGTCTGGCCTCTGCAGGTGGAAGAGGGCAGAAAACATGGGGAGTAAGGGAAGACATAAAAAGTCAGGACCTGGGCAAAGCTTGCACCCATGCTTGGGAGCTCTGAGCTTTTCCTAGGTTGTCTACATTAGATGCAACCTATGGTCTTCCTGTAGACACTTATACTTCTCTTGGTTTTAAAAGTACATATGTTACAAATGGGAGTGTAGTGTAGTATTAAAGAAAATTCATGTCCAGGCTTGGTCTGTGGAAGGGAGAGTTGCCAGGTATGCTACTGAAAGGACATCCAGCCCAGGAGATCACTGCATTGAAACTAACTGTAGGTTGGGACAGTACTTAGTGGAAATACTCTTCCTTGGGTAGTTGTGTTTTGACAGTTTTCCATAGCAGGGTACGGGAACAGGTGGACTTTGGTGGTTGGTTTTGACCAAATGCAGCAATCTTCTTCTCTTAGGAATGCTATGAAGGAGATGGCTATCCATTAGCAGGTCAAGGTTTCTTAGGACAAAAAGCATCTCTCTCATTTATTCTTTAAAAACCACTACTAAGATCTTTTTACTCCAGCTCACCTACCTCCACCTTAGGTGGCAGTTGGGCATGTTCCTTTCATTTTCTACCCCACTTTGTGTTCTTCCAAAGCCTTTTCAGAAGTGTGCCTCATCTCACCTTAAATAACCAAATGCAGGCAAAGAACTTGACCAGACCTTCTTTAAGGTTTTTGCTGGACTCTTTGGAGACTTTTTTAAATACTGGATCAAGATTTTACCTCCTCCAAAATCATGCAACCAACTAGGTTGGAAAAGACCTTTGAGATCATCAAGTCCAAACTGTTAACCCCAGGTGTGTGTTGCAGTGCTGCAGGTAATAGTCATTTCTCCTGGCCAGGTAAAGGTGATGGTATGTGCTTATATTACTGTGTAACAACAGTGTAAAATAAGATGGGAGTGATGTGGGTAACAAGGAAATTGAAATCAGTAAAGAAATCCAAGCATGCAGTATGCTGCATGCGATCCAAGATGCAGTATGCTGCAGCTACTAGGACATCACATCCTGAAAGCTGCATAAACCAACTGTTCATGTAGATAAGCACAGATATCAAATCTGAGAGCATTTGGCAAATTTGAAGTATTTTAATGCCCACTAATACCCCTACATACCATAGCTAAGTGCCTCTGATCCTCACAATACCTTACACACAATAGCTGGCAATTGTTCTCTCTCATGGAAAAAACACATGGGAGTGTGATGAAAGCGAGTTGCTGAGGGAACTGAGAAGTGGAAAGGAACTCCTGTGCTGTTCCCCTCTGCAGATTTTTTCCAAATGTTTTAATCGGGGACTAAAATATCTGCTTTGCTGTGTGAAAATGGTTCTTTCTCTCTGCTGCTCAGCTCTCCTTCCCCACACCCGAGTCAAAGTGAAATGTCATAAAACTGGCAAAAAATTGGTACTTGGAAAGCACACCACCAGCCTCAGATGGAAGTTGATCGTATTAATTCAGATGAAAACAACACTTAGTGCTTCTCTAGATGGTGTTGGGGCTTCTAAAAGGTCAAAAGCTGTGAGCTCTCTAGCACAATTATAAGTATTCTCTTTTAGAATAACCAATAATTCTCTAATCAAAGCGCCACTGATTCCTAAAAAGAGCACATATCAGTGGAACCCACGAGAACTCTGGGACCTCTATTACCCATTCTTGTCCTAACACCACAGCTCTAATTTTGAACTTTCTCATCACCTGGTATTCTCCCTGTACAATATCCTTTATGTTCTCTTAGAGGGGAAAAAAAAAAAATACTGCCAAGTTCTCGTTCTTTTTTTCATCTAAGTCCAGGCACAATAAATTTACCTTTTAAAGGCTCTCTGCCCTCCTCATTATA